CACACACACACACAAACACACACATACACACACACACGCAAACTTACACACACACCGACGGAAACATGAACACACACATACACACAGGCACATACACACATACAAACAGATACATACACACAAACACAGACTGGCACACGAACACACAGACGCACAATATGAACACACACAGGCACACATACACGAACACACACACAAACACACACACACACACACGCAAACTTACACACACACCGAGGGAAACAGGAACACACACATACACACAGGCACATACACACGAACACAGACTGGCACACGAACACACAGACACACACACACACACACACACACACACGAACACACACATAAACACACATATGAACACATACATGAACACACACACAAACACTCACACACACGAACACAAACACACACAGTGACAAACACACACAGTGACAAACACTCAAGACAATGCAATCAATAGCTCGTTGACTCTGACCTGTTGATCGTCGGGTGACCAGACGCCGCAAGTGATGCTGGTGTTGTTGAGGTTGAGCATGGACGACCAGTAGCGTTGTCCAGCTACGCTGCCCACCAGGATGAAGCCGTCCCGGTAACAGATGAGCGCCATGCGGCCGTCGTGGGACCAGGCAAAGTCCGTCACCTGAACCGAGAAACATACACATAGTTTGGTCTAAGGTTTTGGGGATACAAGAGGTGGCATGGTGTGAGGTTCTGTGGCGAAATGTGGCATGGTGTGGTATGGAGAGCATTCTGAGGCAAGGTGTGACAATTTAAGGAGTAGCATTATGTGGCAAAGTGCGAATGGTATGACATTCTTTGGAAAAGCGTGACATTCTGTGGCAGAGTGTGACCATCCGTGGCAAAGTGTGGCATTCTGTGGCAAAGTGTGACATTCTGTGGCAAAGTGTGACATTCTGTGCTTTCTGTGGCACAGTGTGACATTCTGTGGCAAAGTGTGGACATTCTGTGGCAAAGTATGACATTCTGTGGCAAAGTGTGGCATTCAGTGGCAAAGTGTGACATTCTGTGCATTCTGTTGCAAAGTGTGACATTCTGTTGCAAAGTGTGACATTCTGTGGCAAAGTCTGACATTCTGTGGCAAAGTGTGACATTCTGTGCATTCTGTAGCAAAGTGTGACATTCTGTGGCAAAGTGCGACAATCTGTGCATTCTGGGGCAAAGTGTGACATTCTGAGGCAAAGTGTGACATTTTGTGCATTCTGTGGCAAATTGTACATTCTGTGGCAAAGTGTAACATTATGAGGTACAGTGTGGCGTAGTGTCGCAAAGTGAGGCATGGGGTGAGATGTATTAAGGCAAAGTGTGACATTCTGCGCCAAAATGTGTCATTCTGAGGAAAAAGTGGCATTCGGTGACAAAGTGTGGCATTGTGCGGGAAAGTGTGGCAAGGAGTAGCATTATGTGACATTCTGTGGCAAGGTGTGTCAATGTATGACATTCTGTGGCAAAGTGTGACACGGTGTGACTTTCTGTAGCAAGCTGTGGTATAGTGTGACGTTCTGTGGCAAGGTGGGACGTAGAGTTGCATTCTGTGGCAAATGGTAGAAAAGTGCGGCAAGGTGTGACGCTATGTAGCAACGTGAGACATGGTATGAAATAATGTGATGCGAGGTGATTAAAGTAGTGCGGGTTGGTGCCGGAGTGTCTGGCACGGTATGGGATGGTACAGCATGATATGGTATGGTATGGTATAGTATGGATGGCACGGCGCATCGTGGCGTGGCGTGGCGTGATACAGTAGGGCATGTTATATTATGTTATGTTATGTTACATTACGTTGTGGCCTGGCATAGAATAGGATGGAATGGTATGAATCGTTCCGTGAGGCATGAAGCGGTGCGGCATGGTGTAGCAAGACCTGTTATAATCTGGTATCGTGTAGAATAGCCTGATAAAGAGTGGCATAATATGGAAAGAAAAGAAACTGGACCTATAGGTGCGATCATCCAACCACCAGCCTACATGATCCTGTCTTACCCGAGATTCGAGATGGACATTTAATTCGGAGGTTTCGCCTCATAAGTGTTAAAAAGGGCGTTTAAATCTACAGGACTGTACAATGTAAAAAAGGCATGTAGAGCCTAAACCATAAAAACAATACATGTGACAATTTTAACTCAACCAGCACAAAACATTCCCGCCAGCCCATATGACCGTATGTAGTTACAAGCGCTATAAAATTCTGACCCCCCCAAAAAAAACCCAAAACAAAAACAAAAACAACAACAAAACACTCGGTTCCTCATAAAAATGACATAAAAACAAGAAAAAGCGGAACCAAAATAACGAAGAAAATAACTCCCATCAACTTAACTTAAATTCGAACCCTAGCACCGCAAGAGAGGACTAAATTCGCAACCACCATATCGCGTTATTAAATTAAATCATGGAAAACCGGTGCATGCGGTGTAGCACGTCGCACGCAGAAGACATGAGTTCGATTCCTGAATGGCAACAGTATTTATCGAGTGTCTCCGTCCGTCTGCTGGGGAGTTGTATCCTTCTCAGTTTAGTTTGAGCAGGAGTTTTACGGCACTTGCAACACATTAAGGTGCCGAAGATTAGAGGTGTTACAAGAGAATAACAAAAGCAAAAAAGAAGGAGGGGAGATAAGGACGATAGGTGTTTGATAGGAGAGAAGGAGCAAACCACACCAAAGCACCCACCAACCACCCACTATCCTTCTGAGCCCGGATTGTCTCTGGCAAGGAGGGACGAAGCAGCCGCTTCCAACATAATAATATACAATGTGTCGATAGGGGCGTAAAACATCTACCATTTTTAAACAACATTTGAAAAGAGCAAACGGAGAGACAGAAAGAATTGAGGGAAAGTGAAGAAATAAGACCTACCAGTGGCCCCCTCCAACCACCAGCCAACAGGGCCGGAGGTAATTTCGCTTTAATTGGCAAGAAAAAGGAAACGATAATAAAAGACCAGCGGCAAATGTGAAGTATTGCTTCCTACGCATCTGGGAACCCAGACTTGCTGTTCCTTGCTTCTTCCCTGTACAAATCACTAGGGCAGCCCAGTCCCGGAGGCTTGCTCCTGGCCTGCAGTAGTTGGTCGGGGCGAAAGGCAGAAAAGGTTATGCAGGACAGTACTTTTATTTGTGTGTGTGT